GTCTGGGCCGACAGCACGACCTACACCGGGGCGGGGGCGGGGCCTGCTCATCAGCGCACCTGACGCTCTGGACACGCCCCCCGCGCAAAGTCACGCCCATGTAAAGCCACGCCCCCCGCAAACACACACACACACACACACACACATATATATTCGCTTACATCAAATAATCAATCAAACTTTATTTATCGAGCTTCTCAAACAAAAAAGCAACACACAGGCTAAGAAATGTCCCACACTGAAGCTTTAACACTGTGACAAAAGAAACACTTTATGAGACTTTGGTGCCACATTAAAACGTTTATTATGTTCCAAATAAGAAAAGAGCTCAGAGCTCGTGAGACGCTCCAGACTCCAGACGACTCAGACTCCAGAAAGAACTGGACCCAGTCGGTTGTATTTTGTTTTTGTGAGGACTCAGCTCCTCCTGAAACCTGCCGAGGTAAAAACAACTATTTTATTTTAAAAAAGAACAAATCACTCGATTCAAAAAGAGCACATGGGTTTGATGAACGTATCATAAACTGAATCAAAACCCGCCCACGAGCTCGACCCGACTTCACATTATTTTAATACTGATCCTGGTTCTGTTTGACCCAGAGCGGGTTTATCCAGTCCATGTTTGTGGAGCTCAGTGTGATTCTGACGTCAGGTGCAGTGAATCCACAGACGTGACTTTGCCTCAAAAGAAACAGAATCTAAAAATGGTTCAGAAATGTGTTTGCAGCTCAGGGAAGACGAGGACGTGACGTGTCCTTTTGGAGAAGCACCATGAAGAAAACGCTCATGTTTCATCAAATGTTTTAACAAAGTGTCACATCTGAACACTTGTGCTGGAGTCTGGACTCTCACAGACGTGTTAAAAGTGTCTCTCTGTCTCTTCGTGTGTCCATCGTGTGTCCATCGTGTGTCCGTCGTGTGTCCGTCGTGTGGCACTACTGCAGAGTCCGGCCCTGTTTGGGGCTGGACGAGCTGGTGTCTGGGGGAAGACCTCTCTTCCTCCTGGAAAACCTCACACTGGGGTTTCCCACGAGGGCTGTAGACCTTTCAGCTGTTCTCTGAGGCACACTGCTGGACCTTTCAGCTGTTCTCTGAGCGGTAGAAGCAGATGTTTTGGTGTGAACAGCTGTAGACCTTTGTGGTGCTCTTTGAGGCAAAGCTCTGGCTCTTTGTATAGTTCTGTGAGGCACAGCTGTAGAAGCTGAAGACCTTTCAGCTGTTTTCTGAGCTGCAGACCTTTCAGCTGTTCTTAGAGGCAGAGCAGAGTTCCTGCCTGGGGCTCGAGGAGCTTCAGACCTGAGTCTTTTGGGCTGGTGCAGAGCGGTGGACCTGGAGGGAGCTCCAAGTTTCAGAGCAACTGACCTTTGAGGTAATCGGAGAGGCAGAGCTGTAGACCTTTCAGCTGTTCTGAGAGGCAGAGCTGTAGACCTTTCAGCTGTTCTGAGAGGCAGAGCTGTAGACCTTTCAGCTGTTCTGAGAGGCAAAGGTGTAGATCTTTCAGCTGTTCTGAGAGGCAGAGGTGTAGCCCTTTCAGGTGTTCTGGGGGTCGGGGCTGTAGACCTTTCAGGTGCTCTGATGAGGTGCACGAGGGCGGTGTTGAAACAGTCTGAACACTGGCGCGGCTGCTTCTGAGAGGATCTACTGCATCGTGCTGGGAAGCTGTGTGCGGTGAGGGCGCCCCCTACAGGCTCAGGTAACGCAGCAGGACGGACACAGTTCAGAACTCGGTCCTGCCACCACAAAAACACAGTGTGTTAGGGTCAAAGGTGAAAGCTGGAGGTGAAGGAGGCAGAAGTCCCTCAGAACAGACCTTGGTGAGGTTCTGGGCTCCTCCCTGCGTCCGGCCGGTGCTCTGGGCTTTCTGCTGCCGGGTTCCGTAAACGTGAGCCCACTGCCCGTTGGACAGAGCTCTGGGAGGACCTCCAGGAGCTGAGCACAAAGTCACAGAAGAAACATCTGAACACATGAGCACATCTGAAACCTGAGAAGACTGAAGCCCCTGAAGCCGGAGCGGGAGCCTCACCTCGCTCGAGTCCGTCGGACGCCTCCTTCCGTCGGGAGAGGAAGGCCATGGTGTGGGGGATGGCGGTCGAACCTGTGACGGGATCGTTTACGTTTACACACGAGAGCGATTCTTGTACGAATGAAACACGTGACAAACCTCTGAGACAAAGAAAAGACAGGAAGTCCTCCGTCTTGGGCCGGCGCCGCGTGAGGCTCGTTACCATGGTGATCCTGGTGCAGACCGGGAGCCCGGGCGAGTTCGGTGGAGACTGAGCAAACTTCCTCTGAGCCTGAAGTTTGGGTCTGGAGCCACACAAACAGAAGATTTAATATGTACAACCTGTTTTCAATCAGGTCCTCAGGTCAGGACGTACCTGCTGTCCCCCGGCTCTGCCCTCGACGCCGACGACGAGTTTGTCTGAAGCGCCAATCTCCAATTTCCTCTTTTACACTTCGCGTCTGCATCACCTGAAAAAAGATCCAAACATCACTTTAAAATCCACTTTTCACAGTTTTGAATCGTCACCATTTAACATTTGTGTTTGAAGAATCTTTCATCTCTTATTTTCAGACGTCGTGTTGTAGATTCTGTGGTCAGAAAGTACAAAACACTTTTACAACTTTAAAAACAAAATGACATTTAGAAAACACATTTACATCTCAAAAACTAATTCCAAGTTTCATTAAACACGTTTGCAAATGTTCAAACAAATTTACAAAACACGAAACACTTGTACAAGAACCAAAGATGTAAATGTGTTTTCTAAATGTCATTTAGTTTTCAAACGTGTTCATGTGTTAAAGTGTTTTGTACCTGATGACCACGATGTTCTGATACTCAGAACCTCCCAACATCCTGTTTGTCTTTGTGACTCCTGATTTTTGTCTCATGATCCAAAAGCAGAAACAGAAACTGACAAATAAGAGTCAAAGTGACATTTTGAGCTCAATATTTTTCACATACAAATATTTCTTTATTATTGCGACCAGTTGTCACATTTTGGGAGCTTGACTTGTTCTGCTTTAGTCTGGACAAAACAGAAACTTTGAAGTGATTTTTCTCAGTTTCACTCTGTGGAGAGTTAAACCGAGCCAGTCTGGCGCCACCTAGTGCCTCAGATCTATTTAATTTCTCTCCAGTGACTAGATCAGGATCAAAACACACTAAACGCTTTGCAAAAACCCAGAAGTTGTAGACGTGCACCAACCAATCAGCTGTGAGCTGTGAAGTGACGTCGTCGTGACGTCGTCATGGTGACGTCTGTCTGTGTCCATTTTGTGGAACAACAGTAAACAAAACATGGAGATGGACATAAACAAAGACAAACATTCTGTGTTGGCAACGATTCCCCAGATTCCCGAGGATTTAAACCAGAACAAAGAGAATGTTTGGTGAATTTGATCTCGGGGAAAGACGTTCTTGTTCTTCTTCCTACAGGATTTGGAGCTTTACAAACGTCACGACCAAACAGCAGCGATTGGTTCAATAAAAAAAGTCCCCGCCTCCTGTCGAGTGAACGAATCCTAACGCTGCAGGTCACACGGTTTCCACCAAGTGAAACCGACTGATGAATCAGACTAAAATTACTCCTGATTTCACTGAAACGTAAAAAAACGACTCGCTCCATGTTTGTTCTGAACCTTCAGATCTTCAGACTCACTGACCTGGAGGTTTGTGGGTGTTGTCGGCGCTGGCTCGGATCTTGACCGAGTGTCCGTTGGGGGCGCTGCTGCGCGGGGGGGCGGGTCGGGCCGGGGTCAGGGCGGTTCTGGTCGTCACGACGATCCTGGTGCTGAGAGCCGCTCTGGACGAGGTCAGGGCGGGTCTGCCGGGGGCGAGGGTCAGCGCGGTGGGGCGACCCGCCGTCCTGAGGGGCGCGGCTCTGAGGGGGGCGGGCCTGGTGCCGGGGGCGGTCCTGCCGGGCGCTGGCGCGGGTCTGGGGCGGGGTCTTCTGGAGGCCAGGGCAGATCTGGTGGCTCTGGTCGGGATCAGAGCGGCTCTTTTGGAGCTGAGGGACGTTCTTTTGGGGGCAGGGGCGGTCCTGCCAGGGACAGATCTGGGGGCAGGGGCGGTCCTGCCGGGGGTGGTTCTTCTGGATGCGACATCGGCTCTGGTGGAGGAAGTTCTTTTGGAGGTGGGAGCAGTTCTCGAGGGGTAGGGGGCAGTTCTGGTGGCAGGTGCAGTTCTGAGGGTCGGGGCAGTTCGTTTGGAGGCAGGTTCAGATCTTTTTGGGCCAGGATCAGATCTTTTTGGAGCTGGATCAGTTCTTTTTGGGGTGGGGTCAGTTCTTTTTGGGGTGGGGTCAGATCTTTTGGCGGCGGGGCTCTTGTGTGACCTCAGAGTTCTGCCGGACGTCGTCTTCTTCTGGCCGCTGCGTCTCCTCCTCTGTGATTGGCTGGGTGTGTCGGGGGGGCGGGCTGTCGTGCGGGTCTGAGGTGGGGCCCTCTGTGCTCGTGGGCTCTTCTGGGGGCTCTTCTGGGGGCTCTTCTGGGGGGTCCTCTGCGGGGGGCCTCTGCTCTTGGAGGGGCCGGCGGTCCTGGCGGCGGGCGGGTGGGGGCGTGTGCGCTGCTGCTGCTGGGCGCGCTGAGTGTCTTTGAATTCTCGGAGAGACAGAAACAGAACTTTCCGCACGAGTCGTTCCTCCCCCCAGGGCATCCCCTCGCTGATGTCCTGCAGCAGAAACACACGTCACCACAAAACAACTGGAACTAAACTGAACTTTCACCACAAACAGAGAAACACAAAACACAAAACACGAGGAGTGAACACAGACACGAACCCAAACCTGCACAAAAACTGTCAGTCGTTTTTAGGGATGTAACGATGTTGGTGATTTATCGATATTGTACGATTTTTCAGTCTGTTCCTGTGGCGCAGAGAAAACTACATGGACCATGATCCTTTGCGGCCTGTGCGCAGGTTGTGAGTCTGAGGCCCAGAAGTGTTTTGGGTTTGTGACACGAGACGAGAAAAGAGAAAAAGTGACGGACAAACA